GGGTGCTCTCCTGACTCACACTTCTTACTTCTCCATGCTTGACAAACACACAGCTTTTCTCTCTGGCAAACACTTCACTTCTGCATCTCTGTTCTTCCCATGAAAGTGTTATTATTATTTCTGCACAAGAGAAAACAAAGGCTTAAATATAACATTGGTGATGGCTTGGCTCCCTGGTTATACTGTTATTCTTTTATCCTTTTATGCTGTTCATTTCCTACAGAGGAAGTAATCTTTGAGACATTTCACAGATATTTTAAAATTCTATCTTACAATAGAAGCTAATTAAAATATTCAGCTTTCCTAACAAGAGGATGTTTCTCTGAATAGGCCTTTTCACCATAATGACTTTTAAATAAATCTATAGATTTTATTTATAAATATCTATCTACTTAAATAGTTTTGATAAGTCCTCACAACCAGACATGTTAGACAAGCCCTTTCTCAACTATCACCTTCCCCTAAGGATCCACAACTAGTTAATGTCAAGGATTAGAATTAAAAGGATCTTTAGCCCTACCTGATTTAGTAGTTATGTTTTCCTGGGAACTTGCTCCGACTAAGTTAAAGCAGCCCCACAGACACTTAAGCAGGGACAGTGTGACCTGTGCCTACAGAGTTGAATTTTCTGAGCAAGGTGGATAGCTGAAGACTTTATTTAAGATGAAGCCACCTGAAGTGGAATTAGCACACCAGCATAATATATAGCTTAAGCCATCAAGATAACATGAAAAGAAGAATTGTTTACTACTACTCAGTTCATTTGGGGAGTTGTTGCCATACAGTGTAACAATATAAAACACCTCAACATTCTTCTGATCATAGTACAAAATGAGCTCTTCTAGAGAAAGACAGCTAGTGTGGCACACAAGTTGTCATTTCAGTAACCTCAATAACACAAGAAAGCTGCTTTCCTGTTAAGTTTTACATCCATGATAGTATTATATATAATTTTATACACAATCTATAAGATGGTTACAAGGCAGAACGTTTTAAACATGAGTTTCTCCAAAGCACTAGGTATGAAAAATAACACAAACCAGGGATTTTTCTTCATAATATTTTTAATACTTTTCACTTCTAAATGCTGGTTTTAAATTTGTGATTGTAGCATGGAAGAGCCAACTTTAAATTTTTAAAACTGATCATTAGTATCATAAAGCTATTATAGAACAGTTACACTCTACGCACTCAGGGTACTCAAAAATATGATTCATGTTTTGAGTCTGTAGATGAACAGTGGCAATTCAAATACAGTATTATTTTTACAACTTGACAAAAATACAGGTGTACAATCTGGTTAAAGAGAATCAGCACAACTTCAGATAAACCAGCTCAGCCCAATTAAGTAAAAGGTACTCCCCCCCCAAAGTGCATGACATCTTTTCTACGAAAATTTGTGAAAGATGGTCAGATTTTCAGGCAGGATAATGACTCTCTCATCCTTATTGCCAATACAAGTTGTACCAAGTATGTTCCCCCCCCGGATCTAGTGTGGCAACGTATCCAAATTCTCCAGAATTGGAGGCAGATAACATTCAGAAAACCGATAGCTGCATTCTTGGCCTTTCAAGTTGGTTCAGCCAGTAAAATACTCCTACAGTCAGGGGCTTCTTCTGGGAAGACCCCCATCACAGTATAAATGTAACTGCTTCAGTACCTGGAAGAAGAGAACTCACAATGCACATATGTGGGGCAGTGACTGAAGAAATAGATGGCCTCAAGGAACAGGGGAAAAACATATTTCCTAAAACCATAAGAGGTGCCTTCCAGAAGAACATAACTGCTGCTCACACATGGGACAGTCTGAGAAGTCTACCAGATATTCTCCTAGGTACTGACTGAACTTCTCTGTGTCCTGGTATTGCAACTCCTTCCACATTTGGTCAGAAGTCTCTTACCACCCAGTTGGGCAGGGCTAGCTGTAGTGAAGTACAGTGCCTTCCTCTAGAAGTAGATTTTTTTTTTTTTTTTTGAAATTTCCCCCCCCCCCCCCCCCTTTTTTTTTTTTTTTTTGAAATTTCCCCCCCCCCCCCCCCCTTTTTTTTTTTTTTTTTGAAATTTCCCCCCCCCCCCCCCCCTTTTTTTTTTTTTTTTTGAAATTTCCCCCCCCCCCCCCCCCTTTTTTTTTTTTTTTTTGAAATTTCCCCCCCCCCCCCCCCCTTTTTTTTTTTTTTTTTGAAATTTCCCCCCCCCCCCCCCCCTTTTTTTTTTTTTTTTTGAAATTTCCCCCCCCCCCCCCCCCTTTTTTTTTTTTTTTTTAAGTTCCCATCAGTGGCTACGGTGAATGAACTATCATTTGGTTGATTGTAAAAACATGAAGTACATTTGAGGTAATATTTTTGTTGTTTTTTAAAACATCACTATATAAAATGTTCACTGGAGATATAGTAAACGTACAAATTTTCATCTTATTTGCCTTACTAGCATTACCATATAGGCACTTTTCTACATATTCAAATCAACAGAATAATTCTGTAATAAGGCATATTCCATGCACACCATTAGAGAAAGGCAAATTAAAAAAAGGAAGAGTTATGGAGCATGAAACTTGCGTGCATGTCTAATGTGTTATGTATGCTTCCATCTCCATAGAGAAGATGAGCAGATAAAAGTTTTTTCTTTTTTCTTCCCTCTCTCTACGTTATGCAGATAAGATTTAATCATTTTCCAAATCTTCATTAAATAACTGTCTTGTATTTACTTTCAGGCACCTACTATAATATATCAAATAAGACTTTCAGACAAATAAGACTTTTTTCTGAAAAAAAATATATCTGAATCTCTTGTTTTGAGACATATATGTTAGTGAAACACCTGGTAGTCTCTGAATAGTCTCCAACTACAGAACAAGAATAAAAATATCTCAAAAGTGAGCACCGATCTGCCACAGTTCTCCCCTAAAGAGCATCTCCAGAATCAAAGGCAGGCAAAATATCCAACTTTCAAATTCTCACAGCAACTAAGGGGAACTTTCCAGTAAGAACTATGTCTCCTCACAACTCTGCTGGATATTTGATCAAGAGGTAAGTATTAAAGTGACTCATTTTCTACATGAACCTCATAGCATGGCTTTAAGATGAGGGGAAAAGATGCAGGATAAGAAAATGTACTCATCCTCATTCCCAGACTGGAAATGTGATCCTATAAGTCCAAATTGCTTCAATTAATAATATAGTGTACCTTTCTCACAGCTTCAGAAAAGCCCTGGATATCATGCAAGAAAGCAGTCCACATGTAGCATGGACAGATGACTTTTAGCTTTCAGCTTCTAGCTTTTATGCTCTCTCATACAGAATCTACCTAGAAATTTCTGGATCATGTTTAATAACAAAAATCTGTAGCACATTACATAACTGAAAAATACAATAGAAATAAAGATATCTGGAAAAAAAATAAGCTTTTCACACTCTTGCTCCTTCAGACTCTAAGGTCTTCATAAGAGTAAGACAATAGAAAAGGCAAAGTCATCAGGATATTGACACCCCTCAGTTATTAATTGACATTTTACATAACAAGATGATTCATTATAGAAACCAGCAGCAATGAACTATGATTATACAAAGCGAAACAAAATCTGCCAGTAACTCGCCTAGGCTTTACTGAACTCCTCCTCCAGCAAATACTACAGATTTTTGTGCATATAAAGAACATAGTATGCTATATGTGCATTTGTCTTTTGTGCTTTTTAGACATGCACAAAAACTGCTCAAGTATCTTAGGAAGGCTTAACAGTAAAATTCTGCAAGTTGTTTAAAATTAAAACAGTAACCCAAGTTGGTAATTCAAAGTTGTACGTCCTTCCTCTTTTAAAGCAAGCAAATAAAAATAGAGCCATATACATGTTATCAATACATGTATTTATAATTACACACTGATTCGGCAAGAAAAGTTAGCAGGAGAGAGAGTGTGGTAAATATTCAGCCTCACGGTGTTGCAACATTTCTTTACTTTGGTATACAAAGCCTAGAACTTGTGCCATAAAAAGACTGTAGATCCTTCGTTCCAGCATGGAGTGCTCTATACATGGTTACTTCTCCAATGCAGAATGCTCACCCAGTCTTGCTCTGATCACTGCAGAAAGGCAAAGAAAATGAATTTTCAGCATAAATAAGAAAATAAATGGTAAGAAATTGCTAAATCCCTTAAATCATTTAGAAACACTTTGACCATATTTGAACTGCCAGCTCATACGAGATAGTTCAGTTCTTAATGGTTCACCTACACTAGAGTTCTCTAACAATTACAATTAAAAATGAGAAACATATTACAGAGATACCTGTTCTGGAAAGATCAAATGACTAAGACTGAGTTTGACATACTAAATAGAAGGGGGGGGGGGAAAAAAACACACACACACACACACACACACACACACACCGAGGAAGTCTGAAGTCCTTTTCAGATCATGCTCTAGCATTAGAACTACCAGATACTACTGTGTAGCTGCAATTCAATGGTTGGACACTACAGTTGCAAATAATAGAATATATACTGCAACATACTGTTTTTTTTTTTTTTTTTTTTTTAAAAAAAAAAAAAAAAAAAAAGGGGGGGGAGGGCAAAAAAGCAAAGAGATAGCACGAAGGCTCATATCTGAAAAATTCAGATCCTTGTCACCACCAGGTGATGGGGAAATGCCTCTCCAACCTCCTGACACATTATTATTTATTTTTTAAATATTAAAATCATTTTAGATTAGTCCAATGACACACACAGTTAAAATACAACCATGAACTTCAGAAAGCATCTGTAAGTTCCTTTTATTAGGCCCACCAGAAAGATTGAAAATTTAAGACATTATTTTAAATACTCTAGTGATTCAACTTCTCTGTCAGAAAGGCTCCACTATTAATCAAAATCCCAAACCAGAATTTTCTGTTAATATAAAAGAATGCTTTGGAGCTCACAGTATTTTCAGATGCCTGACCACAAAATTGAAAATATACATTGAATTCAGGCTAATGGGGATATGACCACCTTTATTTGGCCCTTTATTTGGCCCTAAGTATTTACAGCAATGAAGAAAACAGCACATACCTGCTAGTACTAGAACAAAATCAGCTTTCCTGCTGTTTTCTCTTGCACATATGATGTAAAACGCTTCAAGAACTTGGGATATTCTCGTTTTGCCACTGCCCGTAACACTGATGCTGGCGCCCATCCTCCTGGGTTCACTAAAAGTAACAATTTAAATCAAGTTTAATGCCATTTCACAAGCCACATATATATATGGCCAAATCAGTAGGTAAACAGTAGGAATACATTATGTTAGGTTCCTACTCCGAACAAGCCTGAGATTATACCAGAGAGGCTAACTGCTCTCACACATTCAGGCACCATCTGAAAAGCAGGGCAGCATCCAGGTTGCACAATTACAAGAATAGTAGGGGACATACATAGTGAGACCAAAAAATAAATAAATAAATAAATAAATAAAATCCTATAAAAGTCAGAAAGAAAAATAACTTAATTCTTGCAATTCCTTTTCTGAAATAACAGCAAGGAACAAGCAGCAGGAGGTTTTTTGTTTGATTGTTTTTAAATGTCTTTACATCTTGTAACACTTCAACTTCCAACTATTTTACAACTCAAGTTTAGTCCATTTTCATGGTGCTACTCCACTTAGAAAATGTTAAAAACAATATTGCGCTGTGGGTCTTTGGAGTATGTCCAGATTGAAGAATATATATTCCCTAAATTCTTTTAAGAAATACTAGGGAAAAGATTTGAATTACTACTTACTTAAAAGTCAACTTATTGTTTGCCAGCTTCACAGTAATCATTGCAATCATGATCACTGCCTCATGATGGTATTTTAAAGATTTGTAAAACACTTTAAGCAAAATTTGAACAGATTCTAATATATATTCAGATTCAGAGGTCAAATATTTTCTCAAAGCTCTGCATCTCTCATAACCATTGACAAATCAAATTATGAAATATGAAAGTTTTTTTTTTTTTTTTTTTTTTTTTTTTTTTTTTAATCTAAGAAAAAGAAACAAAACCCCTTTCCTCACAATTTGGAAACATTTAAATTGCAACCAAAGCAACTTATCCCAGAGTTTAAGACCATACAATATTATTTATACAGAAATTATAACAAATGATATCACTGCTACACAAGGGAAATGGTTATTGGAGCCATGAGAGTAATTGTTCAGACTACCATACTTTGGTAGACCGTGTAATAGGTGGTTAACTGAAATAAGCAGATAGCTACCCTTAGACATTTTTAGAAACTATTGTATCCCAATATTCCATTTTAAGTACATTTCTAAAGACTGGGTACAGTAACAATACAGTTTAGTTTTGGTAACTTTGCAGTCACTTATAAGAATTCTATCAGTTAAAGAAATAATGAAATATGAGGACTGAATTATAGAGCTTGCAAGCTTTTTCATACAAAATATATTTGTACCTTCTTAACATTGGGGGCAAGAATTGTAATTTTATTACCAGCAGCTTTGCAGGCTAACAGGTTGAATCAGGGAAATAATTTTACAGCAACAAATGAATAAAAAGTAGTCTATTACTGAAACTAAAAGCTATGCCAAATCAATGCAGTTGCAGACATTTCTTCCTCCTCCTGTCCCTCAAAAGGGGTTTTAGGACCAAGCTACACACTCTTCTCATTTATTCCTCCTAGAATACCAAACAATGAAGGATTCCTTTGATTGCTGCAGCATATGATTTCAAGCCTTTCTGAACATAAAGAACAAATGTGAATCTGCAAAAGTTTAAAAAGAAACTCCAATCTTGTATTTGCCAGCACTCAGGTCACCAGAGACAGCATATTCAGTGAATGCCATACTGCAAAAATGATACTTACCATTAGCTACATACGTAATCTTGCATAGGATATTGTCCCTGCTTATTTCCTTGTTCCCCTCTGGCGGGCTTACTAGCGTCTGACAAATCATAGCAATATTTATTTTTGCACGGACACATCGATTATTTAGCTGCCAAAAAATGAAATACTTGGTTAGCCGCACAGATGCCAAAGAACAACAGCCCCAAACAGAGTTTACTTCATATTAAATTAACATATTAATCATGCTGAAGTCACATTTCAGCTTGCATTTTCGCACTACATGGATGCAACATGAACATGAAGAAAAGGTGCAAGCATCTCCTAGCATCTAGGGATGTCAGTTAGTAACTTCTCCATTATATAGGCAGAGCACAGAAATAAGCACAAGAATATTCCCAAGGAACAGTCACTGCTACTGTCTGACAGAACCAAGGCGGAACAAGGTAACCTGAAGATTTAACAAACCTCAAAGTCATACAATCTTACCCCATCACATTATCTGAGAACACTGAAGAGATTTTTATGGAATTAAATCAGTATAACTTCAATTCTTTCAAGCATTATCAGGGCTCCAGAAGTTTTGCTTCCATTCTTCTGCAATACCTCAAATCAGATGACTGCTGAGAAAATGCAAAGTACCTTTTGGCTCAGAACAACTTGATTAAGTTATTGCATCAACTGATTTAAGCAAACTGTGTTGCTTTTCCTTTAGAATTTTTCCCTTACACTATCATTGCGTTATCATCGTGTAATAGAAAAACGTTTTGGAAGCAGAGCTTTACTGAATGAAAACAGCAATTACAGGAGCGCTGTCGTGTTCCACAGAGAAGTTGCACACAATCCACGTCTCCGGGTCGTTTTCACTGAACGCTGAGATCTTTCTGATGGCAGACAGATACAGCACATCCCGCTGAGAGGCAGGCCACACCCTCTGTGAAAAGAGGCTTTATTCTAAGCTTTTCCACTTTTGCAAATTAAGTACATGCCTACTATTTGATAAAGGAAGAAACAGAAGCATTAAAAATAAGGTCAGTCATGTTATTTTTATGGTAAAAAAGGTTTAAAATTGAATGCAATTTTCAGATTTAAAACAGAACACTTATACAGATCCATACTGGGTCATATGGATGCATTTTATTTTAAGACAAGCTTAACCCAAAAAAGTTTAAGGCAAGAGTTTAAAAACACTGAAAGGCAAGAAGACTAACTGCGGCTGACATTTTTCAGCTGAGGCAGCCCCCCTACAATATTCTCAACATCAGGCTTGCATTTTAGGTAATATTTGTACCTGCTAGTTCAGTTTGTGGCTTAACTATTGCAGATGTGTCTACAATGTCTCTGTACACATACATACCAAGAGAGAAAGAGAAAGTTTTTTAACAGAAAAATGTTTATAGTGCTTATAGATATGGTAAACTGATATTATCGAGATGCAATATTTCAGAAGTAAACCGTCTAAAAATAAGCTAGAGAAGCCATTTTCCTGATAATTGGAATGGGAAAAAGGAAGGGAATCAACCCTGTCTGAATCTTAAAATGCTGCGGTGTTCACACAACTGCTTTTTATATAAAGAAGTCTTCTGTTACTGCAGTTTTAGGCACCTATACAAGTGGTGACCTGGGCCAAGAGAACAATTAAGAGAACAAACTTAACATCCAAGTACACTGATACTCGGCACCATGCAAGATTAAGGATAAATCTGTATACTTAATAGCCTTCTCTTCTTGAACCCAACTGTTATAATTGTTGAGTTGCACTTTGAATTAATTTTTTGATAAAAACACCACGACTGGTTGGTGGAAAAAAATAATGCAAATATTTTTTAAAAAAGTGTATTATTTAAGCATATCAATAAATATACCACTCACAATGCAAATGCATATGTCAACAGCATGCATTATTGCTAACTCCCCTCTTAAATAAAAGACAACACAGTAGTATTTTTTTTTCTTCCTCGTAGTCAGTGTTGATTTGTTTTTTATGAACCAGTTTTGTCAGCAATGATACATGTAGAGATTAACAAGGTTTTCACCTGTTATTACAGTTTTCAAAAAAACTTCCAAAAATGGACAAAGTTCAGTTTAATACAGAACTAGTTCCGAACTATTGTTTAAAACTGTATTTTAAGCTGTTAAAAACCTGAAGTGTTTGCAGTACATTGGAATAAACATGTCTCATGTCTCAGTAAGATGCTGTATATAGCTTAAGTGTTACTACCTTATGTGTCTGGTAAATGATGATTGCATTATCAGCTAGAGTTTCCACGACATGGAAGTTGTCAATTGTTGCTAAAGGAAAAAAAAATTCATCATTAAAAAAGAACACAGACATTATTATTGAACATGCTTACTGATTTAAAAAAATAAAAAAAAAAATCCTTACTTTCCCAGTCATTACGAACATCAACATTCCAGAAGTAGTGGCAAACTTCATGCCCCGTTACACCTTTAACCGCATGTGTTGCCTTTAAAGGATCTAAAACTATTCCATTCTCTTCCACCTCTCTTCTGTATACCTACGGTCAAATACAAAGTACAGAACATAAACTATAAACAGTTAAAACGGTTTGTAACTGTTTAAAATTTAATCAGCTAAGAAACACAAAGAAAAACCCACCCACATACTTACCTAAGACTAACACAAATAATTTGCCATGTCAGTTCCCCCCTGGTAACTGCCAATGTAGATGCTCTCATATAGCACTCCCAATAATGAGAGAGTGAGACTGTATTTCAGAGTCTCTTATCAAATGATTTAGCTAACTTGCTTGCCACTAGGCACAAGGATCACCACAAACACTTACAATGGAGTAAATAAAACAGTAACTATAAGATCTCATATGAATTTGTATGTTACACTGACATTGAATTCTAGGTACAAGAAAATAAGAAAGGAATCTGCAATAACAAAGCTCTTGCAAGAGTTAAATAGGAAGCTGCATGCTTGAACTGGTGAGTGGATGCAGCTCTTGTGGACTCCAGCCCTAACTTAAACACAGCTATTCTTTGAGAGAACTATTAACAGCATAACTTATGAGTGACAGTACCTGTGAGGAAAAACAAAAAACTCTTAATAGCACACTTATATTAGCTAAGTAAAGAAACAAAAGGTCAAATACTTACCTTCATTTCTCCTTCTTCTACCACTAGCTGCCAATTGGCATCTCCTCCTACATCTTGTAAAGAATAAGTCATATGGTTTTGTACGATCTCTTCTACCTTTAGAGAGACAAAAAACAAGCACATCTTTTTAAAAATATTCCTTATATTTTCCTAGACTGGAAACTGTGCAATACTGGAAACCTCACTAAAGCAAGGCTTCACATCCTGTGCAGGAGCTGAACTTGAACAGAACTCTATCGAAAGTAAGCGCAAGCAGGACTGGCATTCAAAAACATTAACAAAGTTTGATTCAATTTCTGACTCCTTTATAGTTATTTCCTATCCTCCTTTGCAGCTCTAAACTGTCAAAATTCACTATTTTCATCTACTGACTGCTTCATTTCAACATTTAAAGATTATTTTGCACCTCTAAATAAAATTATGATGCGCTGCAAGATATGAAAGCCAAGATTCAGTGAAAAACAAGAAGATTCAGTAAAAAAAAAAAAAACAAGGCTGAACAAAGGGATGAGGGAAAGAAAATCACCTAAAAATGTGAATACTATCAAAAACTTATCTTGGAACCAAAAAAGCAATGCATGCCCTACTCTGTTTCACAAGCACCTTTACACAATTGCCCACTGGAAAGAAATTAAGAACAGAAATACTTACATTTCAAAAATGAAAATGATGCAGAAACTCCACTGGTTAATTTCTTTTTTTCCCCCCACTCCCCCAAATCTCCCTTACTATTTTCAAATCCTGCTCACAGCCAAATTCAAGTTTAGCACCTTAAAAAAAGAGGAGGAAACTAAAGGATTCCACTCATGATTTAGCATTTATAAACATTGGAAGCAATTTGATAATTTTTTCCCACCTACGAAATGAAAAGGTAGGTGACTACTAGAAAACTTTTCACAAGTAAATTTTATTGTCTTTTTTTCTTGAATTACTAGAAATGTTTTTCTAATAAAAAAAGAGTACTTAAAAGCTTAGCTGATAGATGAATGCACCAATTTAAGTATCACTTCAAAAATCATTTGAGCAGCAGTACAAATAGAAGGTAAAGTTAAGGAACATTTGACAACCTTTTCTAATATGATGTGGAATTAATAGATCTTGTTTACACTGAATATAAATCAGTCACTGTTCATACTACGCATCTTTGGGCAACACAAGACTGGGCAGAAAAAAAGTCATTGATCCAAGTGAAAATCTTCTAAGTATAACAAAGTGAAATACATCAGATGGAATCTTTATCTTAACGTGCATTTCTGCACAGAAATCTGTACTTAAGATTACAGATTTTTTTTTCTCCTGTTTTGGGGAAGGCTACAAACTAGGAAAAGTGACAAGACTTCTGTTTCTGCTTTTTAAAAGGTGGTCTTCTGCCAGCTACTAAGAGGCTTCCTACAAAAGCTTTTCTTTCTCGGGACACTTAAAAAAAAAAAAAAAACAAAGGGGGGGAAAAAAAAAAAAAAAAAAAAAAAAAAAAAAAAAAAAGGCAGACCATTTAAAACTTCAGTTTACCAACTCTAGGTCCCACTTCTTGCAAAAGAGAATCCTCCCCATGCTTCTGAGCTTCCCTTGCAATACTTTCACATCCCTACTTCCCTCTTCCACCAAGATTTTAACCTTCTATGGAAGGTTCATGCTTATGCTTTGTGTTTTGACACTTCTGCTTTTACTAAATGCAGCAGGAGGAGGGGAAGAGCAAGGAAAGAATGAGAGGTGCCCAGAGCAGCACATGCAGCACGATCACTTCTGCTGGGGCAGGGAGCAGCAGTGCCCTCCATGGGCTGGTGCACGTGGCCTGCCCAAACAGCAAGCGGTTCA